GAGCAACCTCGCAGACGACGACGGCCGCCTGCCTAGTCCTGTCCGAGTGTTACCAGTCAACAGTTATTAATCCATTTTTATTCAATTATACCATAGACCGATTCACTTATAGATATATTTCCAAGAATCCCCATTAAATTAAGAACGTATGTAAGAAGTTTATTGATACGTATCTACTGGGGAAATTTGTTTAAAAACGATACATAGTTGATGAATGTACTCTCTAGACATTAGCCACTGCAAATATGAAGCTGGTGGCCCTTCAAGAGGTAAATTCCCCCAGCCCAGGATACTTCTTGCATTGGAATCTCCACCACACACAGCTGCTCTTGTCCTGGGCGACGTGCACGACTCACACACACATAGAATTATTACAGCTAACAGAAGTGAATGTTATCATGGACGTGGGATTACAAGAATAGGAGTTATCGACAAAAATATGGCAGGGGGGAAGGATTGAAAACAAAAAGTGGTGGGTAGGAGGGTAGGTTTAGTGAGGCTGACCGACCTGCGCGCCCCTGCAGGCTAACACACACACACACACACACACACACACGCGTCTTCAGTCCTCTTCAAGTTCCACTCAATTTTCTACTTAAGAGTGACTCATCAACAACAGCCACTAATAATCTACCCTATCCTTTGAACTTAAGTGGAATATCTTTAATTCTACCAATTATTTCAACTTAAACAATGAAATCTACCAGTTAATTTTTTATCCATTAAGTGAAACTCATAAAGTCACAGTCTACCAGTTACAACATCTTGACTCACTTAACGATCTGTCTACCAGTAAAATACAGGGTTAACACTCAAATCCTTCTTTCTACTTAATCAGCACTCAAGTCGCACTCAAACTCCCTTTTAAGTTCCACTCAAGTAAAGGTAAACATGGGGTAGACAGAACGAGCACTAGAGCAGTACCCAGTCAGTATTGTGTCTTAGAATCTCAGTTCAGTTTCACTTTGATTTCCTTTTCACTTGGGGATGAACGACACCCTGTGTTTGTAAACAATGTCAGGCTGCGCGCACTGCCACATTACCCAAACTTAAATAACTTAAGTTTTTTTTTTTCCTCTCTCGGCTGCACAGAAAGATAATAACTCCTGGTATAATTGGTGCAGTTTTCAGGAGATGACATAAAGCTATAATTAATTATCATAGAAAAATTATAACTTTCCTCGTGTTATGTTAAAATCTACCGAAGATCATGTTAACTCTGGGTAATTTTTTTAACATATTTGGGTCATAATTTTTGGCCCATGACCCTTGACTTATTTGGCCCACTAAACCCATTACCTATTTGATCCATTTAACCCATTACCTACTTGACCCATGACCCACTTAACCCATGACCCACCTACCCCATGCCCCACTTGACCCCTGCCCCACTTGACCCACAACCCACCTACCCCATGCCCCACTTGACCCATGCCCCACTTGACCCACAACCCACCTACTCCATGCCCCACTTGACTATGCCCCACTTGACCCATGACCCCATCTAACCTACATATCGTTAAGCATCATCGAAAACCTCATTGATAAACAACTCTTTATTCCCAGACCACAACAGTTAATTTCCCCCAATACAAAAAAAAAAAAAATTATAATACATTAATAAATTTACTTCGGATGTATTAAAGTATAAGTAAAACTATGATAAGTGGTTTAAGTATTTCCGGTGTGTGTGTGTAGTGCTTGATGCGTTGTCAGGTGATTTTGCTTGCGTTACAGGTAGTGTGGTGTAGAATAAAACACACAACTTGTTACCTCACATAATACTGGAGGAATCGTTTTGAGTACCATTGAACAGGTAAGAATTTTCTCACCTGTTTGTCTCTGTTTTGGTGTTGTTGTTGTTGTTATTGTTGTTATTGTTGGTGTTATTGTTGTTGGTGGTGTTGTTGTTATTGTTGTTGTTGGTGTTGTTGTTCTTTTAGATGTTACTGTTGTTGTTTAAAAGGTTAGGTTAGGTTAGGTTAGGTTAGGTTAGGTTAGGTAAGTCCAAAACACGAGTATTAAACACCTCTGACGTAACCAGCTCGGCCTTCCATCCATCCTCTCGCCCTCAAGGTTGACGCACTTATCGCCAACTCCCAATTTGGCGAACACTGAGAAAAATTGGCGAACTAATGACTCTCCTGAGCCACTTACGCCAAAATAACCCATTTCAGTATTTAATTTCCTTAACTGTATTCAAGCTATGTGTGTGTGTGTGTGTATGTGTATGTGTGTGTGTGTGTGTGTGTGTGTGTGTGTGTGTGTGTGTGTTGTGTGTGTGTGTGTGTGTGTGTGTGTGTACTGCCCTCTCACCATCATACACACCTGTTCCTCCTCCCCCCCTCTCTCTCCCACTCCCACACACCGTCATGCAATCCCCGCCCACTCACTGGCTCCTCTCCCCCTCTTTCCACTCATCACACTTACACACACGCCCTCTTACTTCCTCCTCACCCCTCACCCTCCTCACCCCCCAATCATCAAGCACTCAGAAGAAACATGAATATCTGTGACCACTTTCCTTGACCACTTTCACACCGCCACTTTTCTCGGTCACTTTCGCTCTGCCACTTTCCTTTGCCGTTGCACTTTCATCTTCTTACGCTCCACATCACGCTGCCAGAGGTGTAGAGGTATATTGAAGCGGTGTAGTGTGTGTGTGTGTGTGTTGGGGAGAGAGAGAGAGAGAGAGAGAGAGGAGAGAGAGAGAGAGAGAGAGAGAGAGAGAGAGAGACTAGAACCAACCAATTAACCAGGTATAAGCCAGTACAGGTATCCTTCATATAAGCCAGTACAGGTATAAGTCTTCCCTTCACGTCAACAACACGTCTCAGATTCCCAAAGGTTCCAACGTTAAATGTCCACCTTAAATGGAGACATGAGAACGTAAGCAGTTAAAGTAGAGTCTCAAGTGTGATTTTGACTCCATTTTAGATCCAAGTTTTTTTGTTGTAGGTTAAGTGAGTCAGTTAGATACCTTCTCACATTATCAGTTAAGGTAAAAAAAAAATTAACATATGACCTTTTAAGAATCTGACTCTGCACAACGCTCATAATTTTGTCCCAAACTGTACAAAAATCTTAAGATATTGTCCTTCTTGTGCCCTAAATTGTCCCATCAGATTTGGAACATTTAACTATGACCTGGAACAATGTTTATCCCCAGGTGTACCATCAGATGTGGGACAGTGGTCATGGTACAGTCATCCATCTTGTTGTGGTGTTATGACGTCACCTTCATCCATCTTATTGTGGTGTTATGACGTCACCTTCATCCATCTTGTTGTGGTGTTATGACGTCACCTTCATCCATCTTGTTGTGGTGTTATGACGTCACCTTCATCCATCTTGTTGTGGTGTTATGACGTGTGTTTACGTTTATCTCCGATCAGTGTGTGTGTGTGTGTGTGTGTGTGTGTGTGTGTGTGTGTGTGTGTACTACTTACCGAGGGAAGGGATTGGGGCAAGGTGTTGTGATGATAGAGATAGTGAGGCAGAGGAGAGAGAGAGAGAGAGAGAGAGAGAGAGAGAGAGAGAGAGAGAGAGAGAGAGAGAGAGAAAAGGGCCTTACATTCACATATGGTAAACACCGTAGAAATACCTCGAACCATACATAGCCAATGACACACTATCACAAGGAACACCCACTCGTCCCACTCAACCCACCCACTCGCCCCACTTAACCCACCCACTCGCCAACTCACCCCACCCACAAACAAGAAGCCTGGAACCCTCTCTCAACACCCTCGGGGATGACTTCCACCTTGAGGTTTCACTCCAAATAGGGATTAGGAATGAGTGTTGGGCGTGAGGAGGACACACAGGGGCTCCGGCCAGGGGTGACGCCAAGGTTCTGCAGGGCCAGCATTACCCTCCTCCCTTGTTTTGCTCCACGTGTCTGTGTTTCTCCCCGACCTCTTATAGCCGTCCCACAAGAGTTTCTGACCATTACGAGGTGTATAGGGATCGTAGGCGTCTTGTGAATGTTTATTATTGAAGGTATAACCCTTTCTATGTTTAATTACAGGTGAGATTTCAGAGTTTTAAATAATTTCAGTTGGTTATTACGAGTTCCCAGGGATCGGAGGTGTCTTTTGGCTCGTTCATGGGTTAAAACGAGTCCCGAATGGCTTTATGTACTCGTAAATATGGACTCTGTGGACTCTCGTACGTTCACCTGGTCAATGATCGCCTCAGGAAGCTGTACTGGCCCGTCATTTCTCATTCTTTAATATAAGATCCCGATGGGGTGTGTGTAATCTCTCTCTCTCTCTCTCTCTCTCTCCTTCAGTATTATGTAGTAGCACCACTAACCTGAACTAACCTGAACTGAACTAACCTAACCTAACCTAACCTAACCTGACCTAACTTAACATAACATAACTTGACCGTAAGTGTAGGACAATCTGGTTTTGTTCGAGGTTGACGTTATCTATCAAAACAGACCTAAGAGGAGGAGGAGGAGGAGGAGGAGGAGGAGGAGAAGAAGGAGGAGAAGATGGACAAGAGGAGGAGGAGGAGGAGGACAAGAGAAGGAGGAGGAGGAGGAAAGGACAAGGGAGGAGGGAAGAAGAGGAGGAGGAGGACAAGAGGAGGAGGAGGAGGACAGGAGGAGGAGGGTCGAGGTGGGGGGTGCTGGGAGGCAGTACCCAGCCGCTGGGGCAACAATACATACCTCACAGACCCTCCTGCTCCCTACCTGCTTGCCCCTGCCCCACCTGCCTACCTGCTTGCCTCCTGCCCCACCTGCCAAGGTTCCCTGCCCCACCTGCCTGCTCCTGGCCCCACCACCTGTTGCCCTGCCCCACCTGCCTGCCCCCGGACCCATCTGCTCACCTGCCTGCCCCGGCCCCACCTGCCTACCTGTTTGCCACCCGCCCCACCTGCCTACTGCTTGCCCCAATTCCCTTCTGCCTCTACTCCAGCTGGGTTCCTGCCTCATTCCTGCCTGCCCCTGACCCATCTGCTCATTTCCTCCTGCTCTGCCCTGCCTCAC